TCTTTTTCTGTCGTCTATATGCACAGGCATATATATATATGGGTGTGAGTATGGGCGAGTATGTGGGCATAGATATTTTCTTCGTCCGCACTTCCATTCTCCTTTAAAAGATTATAAGCATTACAAAAAAATGCAGTTTTTTGGTTTTTTATTATGCTTATAGCTTTTTAAGGCAGGTTGTATGAAATGCAGTATCCTCTCATTTTACTCAAAATATTGTGTTCTTTACTTTGGTACTCTTCCAAACTAATTGTTACAAAGTATTCTAGGACTTGAAAACTATCATATATGATTTTTCAGAAACCTTTCTCTAATAGATTATTTATGAAACTTTCGAATTAAAATGTATTTAATCAAGAACTTCATTGACTATTAAATTACTATTTCGATTTGAGTTAAATGCTTGATATCGTAGAAAAAAAATCAAAACTACATCGATCTTACATTCTTGTCCCGCAGGATGTTACTGTCCTTTTCATATATATTCGCTTCAACACTCGCAATAATCTCCAGACCTACACCTACACTCAAAGGGCCATCTAAAATATCCTTTTTTTGCCTGAATCAGAATGTTTTCGTTTGCCACTGATTTTGTTCATCGAGAACATGTGAAACTTTGTTGAACTTGTTCTTGTTTGTTTAGAATCATTTTTGATTCTTCTAACTCCTGGATATTTCTGTATATAAGTCTAGAGATTTAGATGTGTCTGACAATGAGAAATTAATTGGTCAAGGTAATTTGTTGCATGGTTTTTAGCTTTAGACAGAACTTTTGTAAGGAGTATGCATGTGAGTGTCTCTCACGCTTCTCTGTACCTACGACTAAATCCATACCGTCAAATAATTACTTGTGTATAATGTTCGTGTTTGTGTTGTCATTGGTGAACTTCATTCCCTTACGTTTAACTATTATTGAAGAAAGAAAAAAAAACGATCATCACAGCAATAGAGTATCAATGAAAAAATGAACAAAGAAATATCTAGGTATTTGCACTCAACAATAAATTATGTCGGATGTATCTTGATTGATAACTTAAAGTATTGAAGAAGAAGTAATCCGCTGAGAAGATATAAAATAAATGATATTGAAAGACTAGTTGGAGAAGAAATTTACGCTATGTTGAACGTGAAACTGAGCATTATTTTCTGTCGGTGGACAACAATAGAATTAAGTAGATGAAAAAATACAACAAAATAAAATGAGAAAGAAAAAAAAACAGCGAAAGAGAACGCATTTTGTTGATGTGTACACCGAACAAGCAAAACGGAAGAAAAAGTAATAAATACGGAGAAAAACAACTTGCTGGCAGTAAAGATACGAAAGTTACAAGAGTTTTAAGTCATAAATATGATTAACCCAAATATTTTAACTGCAATTTTTTTTACTCTTTACGAATAATAAATGTGTTTCTGGTCTTATCTACTCATTATTAAAACATATAGCAAGTAAAAATAAACAAATTCCAATTTTGATTCCTAGCATTCGTTGAATTGGTCGTAATTAAAGTTGGAAAAGGCCAGAGTCGAATTGAACCCGACTTTAAATCAAGATAGTCGTTTGGATGATTTTTTTTAACCAGATTCATCAAGAGATATCGATGCTGAGGAATCTAGATTCGAAGTTCGATTTGAGCAAACCTTGAGATTGAATTTTAGGATTCAAGAAACAACTAGACGAGATTTTCAGTCGAATTTTGTAAAATTTGCCGAACATTTTTCAAATGTGAGATGAAATTTAAGAAAGCTTGAGAACGATATTTTGGCTCTGGAAATAGGCTAAATGAATATTAAACTAAATCTAAGTGATTATTGGATGAGTCTGAGGTTATAATCAATTTTGATGAAAGGAGAGACGGTCGGCCCATTTTTAAGTCGACTTTTTTTTCTAGGATTGAGTTAAGTGAAGCCACATAAGATGATACATTACTTCTAGTCTCTTGGATATACAAGAATATATCTTAAGATTTCTGAAATCGGACTTCATATTCAGAATCTTTCAGCAGCGACTATTCTTAATCAATCTGGTGAATAAAGTGTCAAGGGTGTGGGGTGTGAGTGTGGGTGGGGATGTGGATGTGGGTGTCGACGAAGAGAAGACCCACACCCGCCCACACCAACACTCCCCACACTCACACCCTATTCAAGCAGTACTTCAGGCTCATTCATTTATCTCTCCAGACTTTGTGGACGATACAATTACCATACGCGATTTTTCATCTTTTCAACACTATCAAACAAGATGTGGGTGTGAATTTGAGTGTGCAGAATAAAACAAACTGACACTCGCATTCATACACTACACCTTCTTCTGTTTCTGATTATTAAGGCAGTGGATTGCTATACTCGCAGATAAAGGCTCTGATAATGCGACCAAAAAGCTAAAAGTTACTGATTTGGAGACCGCTGAGTCGAAACCATCTTTCTTTACTCGCAATGCCAAAGCTACAAGTTGAAGTCGAGACTATGGAAGTTACATTGACTTCATAGACAATTATTGTGTGCTGGACAGAATGTGAAGGTATTGAATTTCAAGACAATGAAAAGCCGCATATCGAAATAGAAGTAAAAGCCATACTGATTCATGTCAAATACTTGAATAAGTATTTTACTGTCGAAAACTTTTTGTCATAATGAAAAGCAGATGGTTTTAAGATTGAGTACGTCTAACTTTCTTCAAGAGATCCTTTTTACAACGGAGAACTTTATTATGAAGCACTGAACGAGATGTATGCTACTTCATAAGCACCTTGGAAAGGCTTCTAATAACGAGAAATGGTCGGCGCTCTTATTATTTATTACCTTACCTGCAGTGAAAAAATGAAATCAAGACGTATTTGCTCTTATGCATAGTAGATAAAGAAAAGCGAGTAGGATAGCCTTATCTTTGTTCTCCGAAAACAAACCACTTGAAAATAGATGTGTTTGCTATGATATTGACAGAACAAACATTTCAAAGTTCTGATAACCTCCCCTGTTAATTTTGCCATTAGTGTGAGAGCCATCCAGCTCTCTATAAACTTCACTAAAAAACAGTTGTGAACGTCAAAGAACACAACCGGTACACAATGCATCTACCTTTTCAAGTGAGAAGCGTCTCCAATCTATATATGACTGACCGAACATTATCGATACTTGAGAAATCTGAATGTGGGTGTGGCTGGATGGAGCCGTGACTGTTTTGTTAATACATATCGATAACTCACACTAATATCCCACACCCACAATCCCCCTTCCCTACCCCCACGCCCACGCTCACGCCCACCCACATCCACATCTACATCCCCAACCCACATCCGCGAACACATCCTATTCCGCGATGTTGCCCATCGCGGAATCAATCCCTTCCCCCCCCCCCGGAACCAGCTCCATGCGATTCCCGGATTCCGGAATCATCGAACTAACTTGGCTAATTCGACAACGATCGATTTCCTTCAATTTCCGGAATTCCGTCTCATCCTCACCCTCATCTTGTCTTGTGTAGTTAAAGATAAATATGTCAAACAAACGAGCGATTCCGAAATGGAATTCCGGGAATTGGATCGAAGCGGAATTGGATGGGATTCCTAGCAATTCCGTCCAATGCCGGAATCAGTTGGAATTACGGAATTGGGTGCAAGTGCTCGGAATTGTTGGGAATTTTTAGGAATTCCGTCCGATTCCATCTAATTCCGCGTCGATCCAATTTTTGGATTTCAGTTCCAGAATCCCTCGTGTGTTTGACATATTTATGTTTACCTACAGTAGACAAGATGAGGGTGAGGGTGAGACGGACTTCCGGAATCGCACGCAATTCCCGGCATTTCGTTCCAGAATCGCATGCAATTCCCGGCATTCCGTTCCGGAATCGCATGCAATTCCCGGCATTCCATTCCGGAATCGCTCGTTTGTTTCACACATATTTCTTTAACTAGGCAGAACAAGCTAAGAGCGAGGATGAGACGGAATTCCGGAACCGCAGACAATTCCAGAATCAAACGGAATTCCGGAATCGCATTTCGAAATTCCGAAAATACAGGGACTCGATCGTTGTTGAATAAGCCGAGTTAATTCGATGATCTCGGGACTCGGGAATCGGATGGAACTGATTCCGTGGACGGAATTGATTCTGGAATGTGCAACATCGCGGAATAGGATAACTGCTTTCACACCTACCCACACCTCCACACTCACATCACCACATTTACACCCCCACACTCACACCACCACATTCACATCCCCACACTCGAACCCACACTCAGGTCATCACATTCACACCCTCACACGCACACGCACACCCACATCCTGAGAACTCAATTCAAATGAATGGTTTTGGAAAAAAATTCAACTCCATTCAACTCAGTTTAGGAAGTGAATCGAATTGAGCTGCTCACTTCTGGTTTTATACCTTCTAGAAGTAGACTGAGACATGTCCCGAAGTTTTTAACTATTCAAAAATTTGTGACATGCGATAATCAAAAATCACCATACTCATATTGACTAATTTTGATCAAGTTTATTATGAACAAAGTTTAATTGAATATGAGAATTTTCGATAGATAGAGTGTCAACAGTTAAAAATGGTCGACTTCTTTTTGTTGTTCATCGTGATTGAATCAATTATACTTGTACTCTCTATGCCATTTGATAACGTTCTTTATTGAACAAACTTGAAATATCTGATATTGTGATAGCAATATACCCCTACATTCATATTCTGAATAGATTTCTCAGTCTACATTAACTCAGAACATTTGTAAATCTCTCTTTTGCTTGTCCAGTCTTTTATTTTTATTTGTTTCTGTACGTCTCTTGTCTTCTTAATACATGCTTCTTTTACGCGATACTATTTATTGAACGTCAACTGTGAAGCTTATGTAAAAAACACAGAACAAAAGAACTAGAGATTTATTGTTTTTTTAAGCATACATACCATCTCAGTGGAAAATTTTTCAATACGTCTTCCTCTAAAGTTCGAAGGATTGTGCACTACTACCAAATAGTCATAAGCCAATAATTTTGCACTATTGACGAGCAATATTATCTAGTATGAAACTGAACCATTTCATCAAATACATGTCGTTTAACAATGGAAGATTCAATGCAGAAACATGATTACAAAATTGCTCGGCGGATATTGTACGATTTTCTTTGAAGAGATTTTCATTTAAGAATTCACCAACAGACGCGAAAGGACTATCCCCATCATCGATTATCTTTAATTTACTCCGCCATTCTTCAAGAGAAATACTCTTTAACTGAACACCACAGTTATATATATTATCAATAATATCTTCAAATAACACTTCACTATTCGGATTTATAACATGATAAATTTTTCCATCTGCATCGAGTTGAATTCTACTTAAATAAACGATACTTTTTGCTGTAAAATCGACTGGTAACCCATGTAAACGAGCATGAACCATCGTCTCAGGATAACTATTTAATTTCATCATTGCAACAAATAAAAATGTATGAAGATCAGTTCGATTGCAAGCACCTGTTTCTGTACTAGCACAAGTCGATCCAAGACGATAAATGATCACTGGTAAACCTAAACGATTGGCTTGAACCATGAGTTTTTCTGCTACCCATTTACTTTGTGCATAACCGCTGATTAGACCATTAGGAGAGATTTCATCAATAGATACTTCTTTGTTAACATTAGACGATAGAACACTTAGCGTTGATATATAATGAATCGGTATGCATGTAGTTGTATGAGTTGCCAAACGAATAATTTCTTGAGTACCACGAACATTTGAACCGTAGAGTTTGCTATACGGAAGTACAAAATTTACAGCAGCACCACAATGAAAGATAATATCGATTTGTTTAGCAAGTGATTTATATACTTCATGATCTAATCCAAAACAAGTTTCTTCTAAGTCACCTTGTAACGGAATAATTCGTTCTTGAAAATCTTCTTTCCATATCTTATGAAAAAGCATATTTTGTCGAATACGATCCAATGGATTAATCGAAGATTTACATCGTACCAGACAGACAAATTTACATTCAGAAGGATATGTCAATAATAATTCAGTCAATAAAAATGCACCAACAAATCCTGTAGTTCCTGTAATGAATATCATTGAAGGAGAAGCGATCGTAGTTTTCGGTTTACCTACTGTTACATCTAAACGTAATTCAGAATCATATAACAATTTTTGTACTGTTGAATGAGACATCGAAGATATCTGCGAAGGATTTTTAATGACAGTTGCTAGTTGTTGAAGAGTCATATTAGGTTGTAAAAGTATACTTGTTGGTATAGATATTCCTAGATCATCCTCAATTGTACGAGATAAACGTACGGCTGTCAATGAATCACCACCAGTAGGAATAAAGAAATTATCTTCGTCATCACTCAATAGCGATTGTTTCATTGTCGTTTCGATGATAGTTTTTAATCGTTGCTCAATAGTATTAACTTGTTTCAGTCGATCGCTGTAGTATGCAGCTAGTTTGTGACGACAAGGTTTCATTGTTGATGTCAATAAACCATTTTCTGATGTAAAAGGTTCAAAATCAATGATTACTCGTGATGGTATTTCATGTTTGCGAAGTGACTCTTTTTCAGCTAACAAACGAAGATCTTGTAGAATAACATCATAAAATTGTGGATCTGGATTGGTCATATCAAAATTTTTCAGATTATGTTCAAGTGCAAATGCTTGTGCATATTCTCGATTTGGTACAACCACAGCAGCAATAGAATCTGCTAAAAGATCACCATGAATATAGATTTGTTCAATGAAAGGACTTTGAAGATAGATCGTTTGCAGAAATTCTGGTGATACATATTGTCCTTGTGAGAGTTTGAAAAAATTCTTTTTTCGATCAATAAGATTTACATAAGATTCACCGTTTGGATGCATACGTAACTCAACAATGTCACCAGTACGAAAGAATCCATCGTCGGTAAAGGCTGCTCGAGTTTCTTCCGGATTGTTAATGTATCCCGAAAACATTTCGTCAGTTTTGATTACAAGTTCTCCTCGAGGAAATGGTTTGTCATCTACTGTATAACCCAGTTCTGAAATTGATATAAGACGATACTGTAATGTATTTTTAATGATACTGTTACATGCTACTGCTCCACATTCCGTTATTCCGTAAGATTCAAAAACAGAGCAGTGTGAGAAACATCGTTTAACAAAGTTGAGTACTACTGGACTAATCATCGCACCACCAACATTGATTCGTTTACATCTTATTGGAATAAGTCCAGAGAATTGTTGCAGAAGTCGATCTTCTTCTGATGCTGTTGCTAAGGATAAAGCTGCTTGATATTCAGCGTATATTTTATTCCATATCGCTGGTGTAGCTGAAAAATTCGTAGGCCTAACTAAAGCTAGGTCTTCTATCAAAAGAGAAATATCTCCTGTGGAAAATCCTGTACGTCCTCCAGCAAAAAATGTCCTAAAAACAGCAGAACGACCAGTCACCCATGCCAATGGTTCATAACAGAAATAAATTGGATCGATACGAAATGCAGGGCATCGTTGTAAAAATGCAGTTTGATAAGCATTATGAGGAATCATAGCGCCTTTAGGAAATCCTGAACTGCCACTTGTATATATTATTGTCAGACATTCATTAGGACCAACGTTGACAGATTCGTACTGTTTAGTCGAACCGTATGTTTCAATATCACCCATATACTGAATGCGTAGACCATTTTGTGCCACATCTAAAATAATAATTATCTATAATTTTATGCAATTCATTTGAAGAAATTCATATTGTTAATCTTTTGGTTATCGACAAGAGGTACATATGCGTGATATCAAAAAAAGATATGCATTATAAATGATTACATTAGTTACACGTAATGAGAAAGTTAACGAGCAATATTCAAAATGAAATACGAATTGATAATTACCTCGTAGTGTTTCAGGAATTGGATCCATACATACAATGTGATGAAGTGATGGACAATCAGCATATAATCGAATAAATTTTGGTAACATCTGTTGATCGCAAACAACGACTGATACATTTGTATTGTTGATAATATAAGTGAGTTCGCTATCGTTGAATAAACAATACATTGTTACACTGACAATATTCTGAAGAATACATGCAAAGTCGGTAATTACCCATTCAGGTCTATTTCCTGAACAAATACCGAGAAAACCGCGTGGCTCAATTATTTCTCTTAATCCTTGTCCAAAGTTTTTTGATCGCGTACCCACTGTTTCAAATGTTAACCAAGAGTATGTATCGGCATATTGTGAAGGATTATTTTTGTCAATATCTCGCACACCCAAACAATAACGATCATGATACATAGTTATAGTTGTTTGAATTCCATTTGCCATATTTTCACTTTGCCGTTCTTTTACTATATCTTCCTGTCCATATGCTTGTTCACGCATCATTCGATGTGGATGTGATGAATCAAGTACTGCTAAACATTCTTCGCATAAATCATAATTGTCACAAACAACGCAATTGAAACGAAATTCACCATGTTTGAGATTACGATGACATTGGTTACAGAACCAGTAACTCAATTTGGTGGTATCTGTCTTATTCATATCAATCTTGAAGTGAATTAAAAACAAATAAGTTAAATTATATTGTTTTTATCAAGAACAATACACTTAAACAAATGTAAAATAAATATAAAACTTCCGTACGTTTTAACTTTATTCCATGCATTCTCTTTGTTTTCCTGTCTTTGCAACAATGTTTTGTTCTGTTTTGTGAATAAGTTACCTGCATGACTGCTATCTTTTTTTCTCCAAAACTCGTTCGAATGCATTTTGTATTATAAGTCAAGCAAGAAGAAAAATGCAAAAGTCATGATCAACGATAAAACTCCAAAAACCTGTTAGAAAATCTCTTAGAAAAGTAGTACAAAAAAAACTCGCTTGCTCTGATTTAACTTTCAAAAGTGGAATTAATCGTAGCTTGAGGGTGCGAGTGTGAGACGAAGATAAAGCCCACACCCATCCACCCTCAACATGCAAAATCCTTTGTTTCTGATCATCAGCAGGCCAAGTAAGAGGACTCGAAATAGTCTCGTTTAGTTTAATTAAGCCGCGCTAATAGGGTTTCATTAAGTCCAAATGCTGAACGAACAATGAAGGTACCTTAGCGCAGAGTTGGAACCGGTCCCGGTCCGACTGGATCGAATCGGACAGGAAATCGAAACCGGCCGGATGGGACCGGATTTTTGCCAGTCTACTGTTGCAAAAATCTTGGTTGCATTTGTTAATTTTTTACTGAGAAACGAGCTTTTTCTGCATTTCTGAGTGGAGAGATGAACAGAATAATATTCCAAATGAGAAACAGATATAAAGAAGCGAGAGACTCGTTGTTCTTCGGCAGGACGATTCCCGTTGAAAGAGCAATAATTGGTCGAATGCAATGATTGTATTAGGTAGGGAAAGATGAAAAGTTTAAGAGATGAGAACAAGAAAGCCTATGTCGAGAGTTCCGGCTACAAGGATCCATAAGAAACTAGTTGGAAAGTCACCAAAATCGATAGGTTTCATCATGTTTCGACGTATTACTTGCAACTGGATTCTAGTCGAAGTCGTTGGAGTTTTTCGACAACAGTTGCCGATTTGGATTGGAAAAATTCTGACCGGATCCGGTTGTCAATAACGCTGGATCATAAGGGAACATCCGCACGGGCAACAGTGACCTACAGGCATATCCTCTTTTCCAATAACTGTTTCTCTCTCGTATAACCTTTATTCACCTTAAATCAAGCAGTTCGTCTGTCTTTATGTATTTGAATAGCTCTCTCAGTGGAGAAAAAGAAAAAGATGTATCTATCATGGTAGTTATCACTGAACTTGCCCTGTTTGCCAGTTAAATGACGACAAGTAACCGGATTCGAGCTGATCGACCCATCTCTATTCATATTCAGCTTGAAAAGTTGATAATTTGCGATTTGATGTGATAAAGCTGTTTTCTTTTCCATATTTTTGGGCCATCCACTTCAAATTTCTATATGTATATCTCGAAAATTCTACCGCACTCATTATTTTCCGTCAACAAGCTACTTTTGGATTCCATTGGTCTTGCCAAATTTTTTCCAGTTTGGCTTCAAAAGTGAACCAGCCGAATTTCGACTGGACCGGACCGGATAAACTTTTAATCTGGCCGGATCGGCCTAATTACAAAAAAATCTGTTTGGTTCAAACTCTGCCTTAGCGTACTTTGAAAAATAGGGAGAGTCGTGTTTACGTCTATCTTTAATTTTGGTTGGATCAGTAATTGATGTTGTGATAAGAGAAGAAGTGTAAAAAGTTTTCGGCTGTTGGCTAAAAAGTTTTAGTTGATTCGTTTCGTAATTAATAAATTGCAGGTCCTCTCCAGGCAAAAGAAGAGCGTAGTAAATAGTCACTATTCGTCCATGCTTCTAATCTGTATGTTGGACATTCATCAGTTAGATCCGATTCGAATGCAACATGTATTTCATCGCCTTGTTTTACATTTATTGCTTTTTCATGATCGTACATTTGAACGTAACGGACCGGCCAACTAGTCATTCGTTTCAACGCATCGATTTCAGCGGCTTCATTTCGATTGTCTATCGAAGTTAAAATATGTGGCGCTAAATAAAATCCGGCCCATTTTCCGGTACTTTGTTCCACAGTAAATTTTGCTTTGAATTTTCTACATTTATCTAATGGTTTCCTGACATAATCTTGTAAAATAAAGTTTTCAATCAACTGTGGCGTTTTACAAAGAAAAGCATCTTTAGGTGGGTTGAACATTCCTTGTATACCGGCTTTTTTAGCTAGTCTCATAGATGTAGACAATAGAAATGAGCACAATGATGAAACTAGGGATATTTTTGGATGTGATACTGGCACACACAATGTTCCTATGCTGTGGGGAATACAAAAAGATACGTCACCATTGAGATTTCTAATTGTATCGTGCATTACTTTAATGCATCCTTCGTCTGAAGATATACATCCAACTATTTCGTGAATGATTGCATTTGGTCGAGGATCTTGCGCATGCCAATCAACATGTTTTGAGTAACAGCCATATAATAAAATCTTCCTTTTTTCTTCATCAGGGAGACGTTCTCGAAGAGCTTTCGCAAACTCATATGCTCCACGATTTGCTTCAACTGCATAGACACGTTCAGCAATTCTATATTTTATTAACAAACAAGTCAATGGCATATGGGCGCCAGTTCCGATATCTAGCCAGACAGCTTTTTGCTGCCGTTGCCCATACTGCCTTACGGCTTCTTCATAAGCGTTCAGTCTATATGAATCTAAGCACATCATCCAATACATGAACGGATCATACCGACCAATTAAACCAAAAACATTTCTCTTCCTGCCTATCGGATTTCTCATTTGTGGCAGTACATATGTAACATTGAATCTTCTTGCTAAGGCGTAAAATAGCATAGCATAGTAGTGTCCAAATAAATCTGTACGATGAGCCAACCAATAGAAAATATGTAGGATTGAATATAGAAGTAATAGCAGAAGGATGACAAACAAGCACCAATTTATGATATAATTGTGAAATAAAAGCTCCGACGATGGCATTGTCTTGGTTATAGGAGCTCAAATTTTGTTGTATTTCTGTGCACCAAAGTATTAAAAAAGAAAGCGAAGATAATCTGAAAGACAAATTGATATAATTTAATAGCTTGATAGTGTGGGTGTGGATTTGGGTGGATGTCGATATGGGGATTGAAATTTGTATTCTGCTTCGACACAAGCTACATTCGTTCAAGCTAACAGTGGGAGAAGTGAAAACCAAAGCCATATCGAAACACCGGTAGCAGCATGCGCACCCATAGCCTACTCGACACCCTGACTCAAGCAAAACAGCCATACTGGGGAAAAAGATATACGTTTTGTGTTGTGAGATTTCAATTGCGTACAACAGAGTCTCGTGAAAATTCCAACTTGTCTCTCCTAGAATTTCCAACTTGTCTCTCCTAGAATTTCCAACTTGTCTCTCGTATAATTTCCAACATGGCTGATAACTCGAGATAAATGCTGCTTTTTTATGAGACATTGAGTAAATAATACACAATATCGGGGAAGTAGCTTTTATGTGCATAAGCCAATGGCAAAAAATAGAAGTATACCTGGATGCGGCTGTAGGATGTAAGTGTGTGGGCATGAGTGTGGGTGTGGGTGGTAGTCTTAGTCTGACTCTCACACCCATACGTCCACACCCACACCCACACTCACGCTCACACCCACACCCACACTCACGCTCACACCTACACCCACACATAGTTTGGGTGGATGTCGATATGGGGATTGAAATTTGTATTCTGCTTCAACACAAACTACATTCGTTCAAGCTACTAGCGGGAGAAGCGTAAGCCACAGTCATATCGAAATACCGATAGCAACATGTGTTCCCACAGCCTGCTCGACACCCTGACTCAAGCAAAACAGCCATACTGGGGAAAAAGATATACGTTTTGTGTTGTGAGATTTCAATTGCGTACAACAGAGTCTCGTGAAAATTCCAACTTGCCTCTCCTAGAATTTCCAACTTGTCTCTCGTATAATTTCCAACATGGCTGATAACTCGAGATAAATGCTGCTTTTTTATGAGACATTGAGTAAATAATACACAGTATCGGCGAAGTAGCTTTTATGTGCATAAGGCAATGGCAAAAAATAGAAACATGCCTCAATGACTATAGTGTATAATTACGAGAGAAACCAAGGAGACACTCACAGATGGAGTTTTTTCAGAAAGAATAAAAAAAACCTGTAGAAACATTCCGCGGAAGTGATTACGAAAGTCATCGACAAACAAAACTGTCTGAAAGAAATGATAAAGAAAAAGATAAATAGCTGACTGCCCTATAAATATGCACGACGTTCGCTGTAGCTAAATACACATTTCGGTAATTGATTGCGAAACAGTTTCAAGGTAGGTAAATACAGTATCAAGTAATTTTTTCGCTTCAACAATATTCAGAAGATCTTCTAAGGAAAGATTTCTGAGTGTGTCCCGGAGTTTTCTCATAAAAAGTGTATGGTTTGTTAAGTCAAGTACTTGGATCTAAGATTTGAAAAGAGTACTTACTGAGGCTGCTTCAAACAAAAGTTCTAGGCGAAATATTTTTTGTATAGTTACCATATATACACAGTTGCATACTAGTTTATATAAGGGATTATTATCTTCTTCACATATAACAATTAAAATAAGGCTATAGCCTACTTTGCGAAAAGAGAGTAGCTGTATAAACTGAGAGGTTCTTTACTTTTTTTTTATCAAGAATGAATGAAGAAAAAGATCTAACTATTTGGGCTCTTCTATTGTAAGAATAACATTAACATCTGCTATGAGAAGAAATTATTCAAAGGATATTCAATTACAATTGTTGTAAGTAAACTAATGTCAGACACGAAACTGAATAATAAATTGCATGACGTATCAAATACATTGACGTGAACACAAGAAGCTTTTGAAACTCAATGGAGCTGTTCGTTGTTTAACTACGGTAAATTTCGAGTATTACGATGATCTACTTTCCTATTAAACAGAATCAACTGAGTTGTCTCTCTTAGTAATTGTTTCTTTTCGTTCTGTCATAATCATAATCAGTTCTTGCCTTCACTTGCTTGACAATACATATATCTATTTTCTACAGTACACGTGTAACTACGAATAACGACGGACGGCATTTTTCTTCACTGTCTTTTCAATTTACTAAACTTCCACAATAAAAGACCTTGGGTTTTCTATTACGTTGTAGTGTACAAAATTTTCCGGAAAGTTTTCTATTATGGCATGCATTTTTCTATGAACTTCAGTTAAAAATTTTCTTGAAAATGTCCCTGGATTTTGAGACTTTTCCGGGATGAGTCAGCGCCCATCAAGGATTTCAGGTCTTCATTCCGTGAAAGAGCCCTGGGAAATAAGAGGGTCTTCTATTACGTCTAGTAGATCGTACGCTTCGGGAAAGCCTTCTAATACGCGAGAACCTCATTGTCGGAGGAGGGGTAGTAACATGCTTTTCGCTAAGTAGATTATAGCCCCATTTTAATTATTATATGTGAAGAAGATAATAATCCCTTATAAGCTAGTGCACAGCTATGCACACATGGTACTGTACAAAAAATATTTTAGCTAAAGTTTTTCTGAAGCAGTCTCAGTAGGTAATATTTCCAGATCTCAGATCCAGGTACTGGACTTACCAAACTCATGCGTTTTTATGAGGAAACTCTGTGACACAGTCAGAAATCTTTCCTTGTCAGTTTGGGTTGCTTACTATTAGTGAAAATAGCAATGGCTTCATTTGATACGGTAACTATACCTTCGTGCCACGCTGAATACATCGTCGAACGGCTCGAAAAACACGAGCACATGACCCATGAAGAGGCTTTAAACTGTGTCGCAGAATTGGCTCATTATTATGCTGCAATTAAGCATGGAAAGAATGGAAGTCCGTCAGCAAAGATCGACAAGGCTTGGCATGCACACATTCTGAATACACCCATGTACATGGAATTTACGAAAGCAGAATTTGGTCGATATGTTCACCATGTACCTTACTGGTCGGGTCATCAAAGTGATGGTACTGAAGAAGATATTTACGAATACCTGGTGAACCATTTAGGGGTCGATCAGATCAATGCTGCGATCTGGGATCGAGAGGAGTCTCAATGCCTCGGCGGAGCATGCAATGGTGGTGAGAAAAACTCGGAACGATGCACAAACAAGTGCAGGGCATGCTGGAGTTGCAACACAGTCGGGTAAACATATGCATATGCACCTAAGACACTATTGAACATTATATTTTTTCTTGCTTGCTATTTCGTTCTACATTATATTTACTTTAGATACTTTTAAAATATTCCCTAGAACTTCATTTTCCGCTCTATTGGTAAATACATTAAGATTTCAGGAATCCTCCGTTATCACATGTAAACCACTCACATATGCCAACAATAATTATTACAGCTAAAGCATTTATAGGTGTGAGAGAGGGCCACGCTAGTGAGCTATATATAGGAGGGTGTGGGTGTGGGTGCGGGTGCGGGTGCGTGTAGGTGATGAGAAGATATCCACACCCTCACCAACACCCCACACCTCACACCCGTACCCACACACCCAACTCCACACTCTCACCCCCACATCCACGCCCCCACGCCCATATACTCACAACCACACCCACAATTTTTTTGTTTAAAACTCAGCCCGACCTGGCCCATGGTTTTTCATTCGAAAAAAAATTCGGCCCATGGGCCGGGCCGGACCAAGCCCGGCCTATTGAGACCTCTGACCTAGATTACCCACCTGAAATGGCTGAATGTCAAAAATGTCAAAATTTAGAAATCTTTCTAAATCTTACATGAAGCGTTTTTTCTAAATATTGATCAATACCGAATTGATCAATCTCATCCTCCATCAGGTTGAAGTGATTCAATGTTTGATTGTGAGTATAGTGGTATCAAATCAATATTTGAAGGAAGTTTATGTTTAGAATAGATCATCATCTATTCGCAAAGAAAGCCGAAAAAAATTGTCAAGGTAAAAAAAATCATCAAATCCTTAATTTATCAATACGAATAACATTGAGATTATTCTTATTGTATGAGAATAAATCGATCAATACATTGTCATGTGTTCTATGATAATAATAAATGAAAGCCAGAAGAAGTACAAATATTAACGTATGCTCGATGTACATGTTTGATGTCTAATCCAACACCGATGAAATACGCGGATCTACGTACAAAATTATATTCGTTTGAAAACAATTTGTTCGATAAATGAGTTCTTTAATTATATCAAAATTGAATTATCTCATTTTTTGCATTCAAAGATATGAACTACATGACAACCTAATGTAGAAACAGCTGCACGTTAAACTTATCTAAAAAGACGAATTCGTCTGACGAAGCAGCGTTTTCGACTGACCAATTGTTTTCTCCCCAAATATTACTGAATTATGGATTATCGATCATGTTAATTCTGTATATGACCATAATCCCCTTAGGTCTTTATATACTGAAGCCCTGGAAAATCGATTTTCCTGATTAACAAACATTTTGCTAAAATTGCTTTTTATCTGCTCAGAATATAGAGCATACTGAGTTGTCTATACGATAATAATCATTTTTTGTTTTCCAAAAATAACTTTTAAGTAAAATAATATCATGTTGAAGGTTTTCACATTGAAATACTGTAGTATGAATTAAAATGGCTGTATTTTCCTGCAAAGAAAAACAATTTGAATCAGAATAAGTTACCGTTTTTTAGACAATTCAATATGCTCTGCAGTCTGAATAGATCAACAAAAACAATTTTGACGGAAAGTACATTAGTTCGAAGAGCCGATTTTTCTCAAAAACAGTATATGAAGATCTCAGAAGGTTTCCCATAGTCATCCTCGAAATCATCATGGTCGATAACCTACAATCCACTAGCTTTCGATGAGAATGTGATTGATCCGTTGAAAACATTTCCTCGTGAGTCCAAAACTTTTGTTATCAAATAAGTCATCTAGCAATAGAGTTCATCACAGAGAAGCCGTGCCAAAAAAAATAGATGCAAGTGTTTTTAAAACTTTTCGCCTAGCAGAAAAATTTTTTTCAAGAATATCTTTATCTATTTTTTGTTATCAGTATTTCCTCTATCATTATTTACTTCATTTCCGATTTCAAAAATAGTTTCTCGAAAACTTTCAACTATTGCGATCACTATCGATCTAAGTATCTGACAATAATAAGCCAATCGTTTCAAATGGACAAAAATTTTATTTTTGTATTTTATTTTAAATAAATACTAATTTATTCGTTTCTTAATGACTATTCTAATTATTCAATATTATTTTAATTCTAATCAAAAATTAATTAATACACATTCTTTTAAATCGATTAAAATCTCGTAATGCATCTAAATCATCAGGAAATGGATATTCAGCACCGATTAATTGAGCAACTGCAAATCCTGATATCAATGAAAGATCATGTCCATTCGCTGGTGTTACAGAATTTGCACAAAAATACATTCCATTTTCTCCTTGTACTAATCGTATTAATAATGAAATTGTTTGATTACG